AATTGTGCTCGGAAGCTGATTGGCAGCCAGTGGAGCTGGCGCAACAGAGGAGTAGTATACTCCCTGTACCCCGCTCCTGTTAGTAATCTGGTAGTAATAAAGTATTATTATTATTATTATTATTATTATTATTATTATTATTATTTTACTGACCCAAAAGCACAGTATGTCACATCAAACGAGATCTATATGCTGGATTTCGTATCACAAAATAATAATAATAATAATAATAATTATTATTATTATTATTATTATTATTATTAACCATGGTTTGAAATCCTTGTAATGGAAGGCAAACATATCCTTGATGTGGGAGGCAATTTGCTGGATACAAAGTGGAAGAAAATGGTTACATTTATAGAGAAACTGACAAAACAGAAGCTGGAAACACACTTTTAAAACTAATTTATGTATATGTTGGTAGTCTTAGTGTCACAGGTAGAGATCTATGTTTGTTAAGGAAGTGTTGCCTTAAGTACGTCTCTGTTTATGTACTCTTTTTTGCGTGTTTTTTATTGTTAAAATTAATTTTAAAATATTGGGGGGTGTAGTAGTGGGAGTCAAAGGTAAACTATTACACAAGCCAACAAAATCAAACTTCTTGTAATCATCAAAAATGGGAGTAGCACAGTTTAAATCCATTTTTATCCTCATTTTAAATATATATTTTTTTCATCATTTTAACTTTTAAAAATATGACAATTGTACATTACAGCAGATTACTGTAAAGTCTGCACATTTCACATCATATTCGTATGACAGAAGCCAACAAGTATTTTTCATCAAAAATAATTTTAGGTCATTCTTATAGAGTTTTTTGCACTGAATTCAGATCTCTGTGTTTATTTTTTCTCTCTCTATCACATGTAGTTTTTGCAATGAGGCTCATCAAATAATTAATGCACTGAGATAAAAAGAATCTAATGAACCGCAAGCCAACAAGTGTTTTTCGTCAGATATGATTTCAGTCCATTCTTATAGAATTTTTTTGCACTGAATTCAGATCTCTGTGTTTATTTTTTTTCTGTATCATGTGCAGTTTTTGCAATGAGACTCATCAAATAATTAATGCATTTACTCATTAATATCAACAGAATATAATGAACCACAAGCCACCAAGTGTTTTTCAGCAGATATGATTTTAGGTCATTCTTATAGAATTTTTTTGCGCAGAATTCAGATATGTGTTTATTTTTTCTCTATCGTGTGTAATTATTACAATGAGGCTAATCAAATAATTAATGCATTTACGCACTGATATCAATAGAATCTAATTAACCACAAGGCAGCAAGTGTTTTTCATCAGATACGATTTCAGGACATTCTTAGATAATTTTTTTGCGCTGGATTTAGATCTATGTTTATTTTTCTCTATCATGTGTAGTTTTTGCAATAAGGCTCATCAAATAATTGATGTATTTACTCATTAATATCAACAGAATATAATGAACCACAAATCGCCAAGTATTTTTCATCAGATATGATTTCAGGACATTCTTAAAGAATGTTTCGCGCAGAATTCAGATCTGTGTTCATTTTTTCTCTGTCATGTGTAGTTCTTGCAATGAGGCTATTGAAATAATTAATGCATTTACACACTGATATCAATTAGAGTCTATTGATATCTGTGAGTAAATGCATTAATTATTTGATTAGCATCA